GGGGGGGGGGGGGATGGCGAGAGCGAGAAGGCACGTATAAACGTATTCGCGAGTGTTCGCGAGGGTGCATCGATCGTCGTGCAGGGCGCGCTATCTCCCGGCGGTTTTGCGCACCACGACTCTCGTGTGTGGTGCGAAATTGAAAGATGGCCGTCCCGCTGGCATTTGACGGCGACTTTTACAGCAGTCGCGCTACGAGCGAGTTGGAGCGAGTGAACGGCTACGCGGCAATCCGAGAGCGTTGCGCGGACGGCGTCCCGGCCGGCGGGAGGATGACGGCGACGGGATTGTGAAGGAAGTTGTTGCGCGCGCGTTGTGCGACGGCCGTCCATCGAGAGAGTACGTCACGCACAACGAGTGTAACGTCGACGTCGCACCGCGCCGCGCCGCGCCGTCAGCGCGGTGTCTCTAGCAGACGACATTGTTAGTAAAAATAAAGTACTATTGTATATATACATATTTGAAGAGATCGGGAGTGTGTGAAAAGAGGCAAAAAGCGCGTTCGTCAGCGTTCCTTTCGGCGGTGAACGTCCCGCCGTGACGTGACAATTAATTGGTCGTAGGCGGCGAAGAATCCGCTTGCTTTTTATGTCGCGCCTCACGTCGATCCACGTCGATCGCCAGCGATGGTCGCCCGCGCCCGTCGACTCGTCGGCACCGCCAGTCAGCAACGAAATTGCGAAAAAGTATCCTATGTGCCCGACGACCGTCTCAATTGATTTTCGTGACATTAGTCGGTCGGCGAGTCGAATCACGCTGGCAGAGTAACGATCGCCAAGTCGAACGAGAAGAGTTAAGAGAAAGAGAGAGAGAGAGAGAAAAAGAGACGGAGAAGGAGAAAGAAAGAGCCAAGTTGCGAGTGATCGAAGAATCGCTTGATATGGAGGTTCGCCTCAGGACCGAATAACAAGAAACCGTGCCAGCAACACTTTTCTCTCGCACGCAATCATGGCTGCCTAGCACAGGGCGCGTATCGACCAATTTTGTCAGTTCAGGTTAAAACCGTATATTCTTGAGAGATGCGTTTTCCATTGACAGCTTACATCGTCGGCGCGGTGACCAGCGGTGACCGGCGGTGACCAGCGGTGACAGCGCTGTCACGTTGCGTTACGTCCTCGTATATTTATCACATAATCTGTCACTTGCGTTTTCTAGGCCTGCGAATCATACCGAGGATTTGGCGTTGAGGAATGTAGGCGACGAAAGCACGGATCAAAATAATAATATAACTATGACGAGCGAAGACCTGCTGCAGCCTGGCCATGTGGTCAAAGAGCGTTGGAAAGTTGTAAGCTTCTTTTTATTATTCTCGTGTGTGCTCTAAGAAATTCACCACTCTCGTTCATTATACTTTTAATAAGATGAGTCCTTTAAAGAGATATTTCATATCAAAGGAGAAAATACATTTTTATATCGATGTAATTTACTATTTGAAAAAAAAGCGATGCGAACCAAATGTAACATTAAAAACAAAGAAATAACACGTGTCTTTAATGTATAGGTGAGAAAAATAGGTGGAGGTGGATTTGGTGAAATTTACGAAGGTCTTGATTTAATGACAAAGGAACAAGTTGCTCTTAAAGTCGAATCTGCACGGCAGCCGAAACAAGTTTTAAAGATGGAGGTAGCTGTATTGAAAAAATTACAGGGTTAGTATAAAATCTTTTTGATTAAAGAGATATTCGTATTCATAAAATTGAATCAAGTGTTTTGTTATTCTTGGATTATCATTTTATTAGAAAAATTTACTGCTTTAGGTAAAGACCATGTTTGCCGTTTTATTGGTTGTGGACGTAACGATCGATTTAATTATGTTGTAATGCAGTTGCAAGGAAAGAATTTAGCTGAATTGCGCAGGGCGCAACCGCGAGGAGCTTTTTCACTTTCTACTACATTACGTCTTGGTCTTCAAATTTTGAAAGCTATAGAAAGTATTCATCACGTGGGATTTTTGCATAGAGACATTAAACCTGTAGGTATACACTGTTATTTATATACAGAATTATTTACGTTTTTATTGAATATATGTTAAAGTTGTACTATCTTAAAAATATGAATATTCTATTTTACAGTCAAATTTTTCAATTGGTCGCCATCCTTACAACTCCAGACTAGTATATATGTTAGATTTTGGTCTAGCTCGACAATTTACTACCAGTACCGGAGAGGTGCGACCGCCTCGTGCTGCCGCAGGATTTAGAGGAACCGTCCGATATGCGTCAGTCAATGCACACAAAAATAAAGAGATGGGCCGACATGATGATTTGTGGTCACTATTTTATATGCTAGTCGAATTTGTTAATGGACAATTGCCTTGGCGAAAAATAAAAGATAAAGAACAAGTAAGCCCAAGAAATTTTAATGTAAAGTTGTAAATGGTTGTAGTTGTAAGAATTAATCACAGTCAAATACGAAGAAAATGTTCGACTGTGAGTAGTCAATTCTTACAACTACGTTTACGCGATTGTAGAATGGACTTAAGACACGTACACGCGCGCACAAAACTCATGCATGTATATGTGTATGTATATAAAATTCGAGTAGCATTATTAAAATTAATAATATCTTGTATAGGTGGGTCTTATGAAAGAGAAATATGATCATCGATTACTTTTGAAACATCTCCCATCTGATCTACGAGTTTTTTTAGAACACATTCAGGTAATCTCCGATATAATTTGAATTTATATGATAAATTTTTATCTTTGTAATAACAAAACACTCTTATACTTTTGTAGAATTTGGAATATGCAGATAAACCAGATTATAGTATGTTAGCTAGTCTGTTTGAACGATGTATGAAACGTAGAGGTGTAAAACCAAATGATCCCTATGATTGGGAAAGGCCATTAATAGTTAATGAAAGTTTATCAACTACTAGATCATTACCTACAGTAGCTGTACCACCTCCTCTTACTTCAGCTACTACCCTCAATCAACTTCCGACTACGACTGTAGATACGAATAATCAAGAGAATGTGGAACCGGACAACAGAAAAGAGTTAGATGTAAGAAAAACAAATAACTTATAGACATCTTTTTCTTATTTATCTTAAATTTTCTCGTTAAGACAACATTTATATACTTGTTATATTTGTAAGAAGTTTTTAATTCTTTATATCTTAAGATTCATTTTTTTATCATATATATTTGTTTGTCATAGGCACAATTGGATTACGAAGGTATATATAGAAGAAACAGGCAACGTGGAATAGAAGGTTCTCCAGTACCATTTGCAGCAGCTATCAGTAATCATGGTAGGGATAAAAATTGCAATGCCACAATACCAACGACGGATAATACGCATCAACAAGTCGCACAACAGACTATGCCACCTTTGCCAACCCAAGGTTTGTATAGTTTGTTTATATCGCAATGTTTATTTTATTCTTATTACACAGTAATTATCGCTCACGTAGGATCTCCCAAAAAACGACGTGCAGTTTCGATGGCAGTAGAATCTCAAGGTCCTACGCCAGTAGAAAAGCAGGTAGATAACGAAGGAGACGCATTGATGGCTTCTGCACGTTCGGCATCCGAGGTTCCCCGCCTTAAAACAGTAACGAATGCGACAGCACCACTTAGAAAATCAGCGAGCGGTGCTACATTGCCCGCTACTCTCGCCCGTTTGCGCATCGCTACACCCGAAGGAACGTCCGGTGAATTACCGAGTCCTCGTATACAGACGGAAGTTGACGCTTCCTATTGCTCTTACGATGTAACTAATACTAAGTACGTTGGAAATCAAAGTCCGGTGAGTACGCAGTTTATAGTCAACATAACAAAGATTACAACCGTTTAATATTTCGCAAATTTGATATTCCGATATTTTTAGGTAACTGAACAAAGAGAACCTCTCAGAAGAGAACCTAGAAGGAGAGCAGACAGCCGACAACAAGTAAGAAGCGGACGGTCAGCGGTACGTGATTGTTCTATTACGCAATTTGCACAAATAGACGACGACAATGTATCCGCCTTGCAACAAGTGACCAAAGGCGGTGGAGGATTGACTCTAGCCTCACAATGGAAGTCACAATTTGACGATTCTGAAGAGACTGATAATGAATGGAAAGGGGAAAATTTGCAGAGTCCCGAACACAAAGGGACAAATGCCCCATCCATACCGCCACAAGTAAAAATTCTTGCTTATTACAATAAAATGATTAGATTAGCAGGAACATGTTTGTACGAAAATGCTCAAATAATGTTCGAAATTTAAACAAGTTTATATATACAGTCCACAGGTGTCGTCGAAGGCTCACAGCAATTGGATACAAAATCTACTGCAGCTCAATCAAATGCCTCAAATGTGTGTCAACAGCAGTCTTTATTGCCCACAGCACTGTCTAAAATAAGCGAAGATTCTCCGAGACCAACGGTACCACATAGATGTTTAAATATCGCGGGTATCGAAAAATATCCAGAACTGCAAGGGGCACTTCCGCGAGCTTGGAGCGTTCCGGTTTTAGCTCCACATGTTCGAGCCTATCTCGAAGCTCCATTGGTTCGTATCATGTTCTGTGTGGGTGGCTCACTAATCTCTTTTGCACAAATATATTTAAATTTTAATGGTAATAGGTTCAGCAAGCAGCATTTGATGATTTACTGTATGAAGTTGATGTTATGAGGAATATTGCCACTCGATACGATGAGCCGAAACAGATCACATCAGTCAGAAGATCTAGTCTGCCAGCGGTATCTTTTTCTCCTTTTGATGCAACGGTTAACACTCCTAGAGAAGAAGAAGAGGAAGAAGCAGTAGCTGGTAGATTGGAAATCAGAGTGGTAGACGCAACTGGTGGTGCTACAATTGTGCAAACTAGTGCTGACAGAGAACCATTACAAAGTACGTGTGATTGATTTTTTTTTTTTTAATCTGTTATCAATTAGTGAATTAGTCACAGTCCATTTTGTGCTTATAATGCAAATATTTGCTTTATCTGAATTTGTAGAAAAATTAACGAACGGCACGGCAGGTAGCCCAGCTAGTCCTAATCCAGGACCGGAAGAACCATCGATATATTACGACGCTACCGAGAATCGACCGACTGCGAATGCGAGTTTGCAAAAGGAATCGATTAATATCACTACTGCCTCGACTACTGTACAAAACGCAGTACCGCTTCGTGATAATAAGGACAATAAAGAGAAGGAAACATCTAGTAGGACATACATTGCTCATAGTAAAATACCGGTTCCTGTTAAAAGTCCAAGGTGTTCGTTATCCGAATCGACGCCCGAAACTAACACTCCGAATACCAAGGCGGGAACTGGAAGTGATATAGAAAAACTACCCGTACTCGCGACGGCAACTAAGGAAAAAGAAAATAGTTAGTAAAACTAATATAAATATAGAAAATTCTTTAATAATAATATATATCTTTAATATTTATATCTATATTTCGTTATTTATGATACACAAGTTTATGATAAAAATTGACAAGATACATTGTTCTTAAAAATTTTGCGAAGAAATCAACGTATCCCTGAAGATACTAAAAAAGCTACGCTTTGAACGCTTTAATTTATTATTACTATATTGTATTTTATTTTAATAATTTTGAAGATTTTATATATATATTATATATATATTTATACTGTATCATTGTTATTATTTTATTAGAGAAAAATTCTTATGAAATGTAATATAAATCTAATACAAAAATTTATTATTATATTTTGAAACAATTATACGAAAAAGCAATTTACAATAGGAAATTACTTTTTAAATTGTTACTCCTTACTTTAAAAATATTTGTTTTCACCGATATCGATCACACATCGTGTGAGTAAGTTTTCTATAAACTATTTCATGTTATTAAAGCAAGAAATATTAAAATTTCGTAACTATATATATATAATATTATGTAATAATAAAGTGTGCATGAGTTTTGAATATTCTATAAAAAGAATTTAATATTTGCATAAAAATATTTTTGCCAAATCAAATAGCATTAGTCTTGAAGACTATGATTTGTATTTAAAGAATAAGAAAATGGTATATATGTGAAATTAATTTGACATATTAGTTTCTCTTCGTACTAACGTTCGCAAATTTTAGCTGTCAGAGGTAAACCATTGACAGCACATATGGAAGCGCCAGCACAATGCCGTCGCATAGCATTATCTGACGCTAGACCAATCATGTCACCTTTAACTTCAGCCAGCTGTGCCGAAGACGAAAATTTAACTGGATGTACACCCGCTTTGCGCCGCCGAAGACAAAGTGACAAGTATGTGACAGACGCTAGTCAGTTGAATCTGCAGTTCCAAAGACCGCAACACAGAACGAGACCGCAATCTGAAGTATTAAGACTTTCTCCCAGGGGAGTACCTTCGCATCTTTTACGGGAGCCTGGTAAAAAATCCGAAGAGAGCAGTGAAAGTGACTCTAATAGCAGTGGACCGCCAAAATCTTCTTCTCGTCAACCACCACCACCACCTACATCGTTGCCACCTCATATAGCAGAAAACAATGCTAGGTGAATATATATGCATTTGTATATCTGATTTGTACAAATGGTTATAGCTGAAAATTTTATATATTACTGCCTCGATATCCATTACGTAAAATTAATTGTAACTAATGATATAATTTCCTTTCTGTAATTATGAATATAATTTTTTATAGATGCCGTCGTTATTGGCCCATACCAGATGCAACGGTTGCCAGCAGAGAATCGTGAGATTTGATATTCAAACTGACAAATAGTCTGTTTATGTTAGGATTGAGAAGGCTTTTACTGCTCAACCATCTAAGAATGTGATATCATTTGGGGCACCCGCAATACGAAATTTTTCTGATAAATACATCGTCGAATACATGGAAATTTTAGTAAAAATGCATATCTATATATCTACAAAGATACAGAACATACCTATTCATTTAGTGTGCGAAAATGTAATTGTCTGTGAATGCGTATTCAAATAGCCGCTTTAATTAACTGCTGAATTTTGTGAGTGAATTCCTCAAAAAAAAAAAAAAATCTTTTTAATTATTTTTGGGGCATAAGCTCAACAAGTTTCAGTAAATTAAATAAAAGTGTACGTGAGAGTGCGTGCTTTCAGTGTGCAAGCAGTACAATAATTTGGTGATTCGAGATAGTCGCTTTTTTTTTTAAGATTATATATTTTTTTCTTTATTTATAACACATTTACAGTATGAATATGTCCATCCAGAGTATCTTTAAATTAAGTATTTTCTACATACGATATTATATATTTCTTTCCTTTTTTATATATGTTGGATTTGCATACTTGATTTATGCATAGAATATGTTTTATATATGTTACCAGAAAAAAACTCTATGTTATTATTAAATCTAATAGAATTTTTCTCGCACGAAAGTATAAAATGCACTTATTTGCATAATTCATAAAATATCCTGTAGAGACAGCTTTTATATAAGATTTATAATTTTATTGATAGTAGCTGCAAAGTAATATAAATACATTTTTTTTTGTTATAATAATAATTATTATAACTACTGTTGTACACTGAAACATATTTTATTTGTTAAAATAATACAAATATTTTATATCTTGAAGAAAATGAGTGCTCGATAATTTATTAACTAAAATTATACTCATTTAATTTATGAGCATACTTTAAATTGTTAGTAATGTAGAATTGCTACGTTGCAAGGAGCATAAATCACGTAATAATAACATAACGAGTTTTATGGATGATATAAGAAAGCATGGATAATAGATATTATTTAGCATCGCAAGAGAAAGATGAGTTTAATAAAGTGGCTTTAGAATAATTAAAAATTCGGGCCAGATATACTAGTCTCCTTGATAGCCCAAGGCCAACAAATGCAATTTTTTTTTCGCATATATACAAGGTATTGCAAAATCATCAAAGTTCTTTTAATAGCAATTCCTTTGGTACTTCCAAAATAAAAATCGATTTTTCCTTAGGAAAGAACAAAGAAGATAAATAATTATTACAACTTCTTTGCATTATTTTTTTTGTAACTAAGCCTTAAAATTCTATGAAAAATTATTTTCTATTTGAAATTGTTGAAAAATGTAGTTTTATTATTCATTTGTTTTTTTATTCATTTCTTTTAAAAATTGGTTTTTGTAGTTTTTTTTTTGTTCAGTCGCTCATAAATTGATTAAAGACCATGTTATTAAAAGAATTCTTAATGCTTTTGAGACATCCTGTAAATATATATGATCTCAGCTTCCTTGTACTATCTTTCATCTACAGATCGTTAGACTAATTTGAAATTAAAAAGGAATTTTAATTCTGGAACTGTAAATAATTACAAATTCAGGGATTTTCTCAAATTAGCTTCAGGGATGTAAATATATATAATAAGTATATAGTAAAATAATAAATTTAAATTTAAAACTGAAGATATTTAGGATTATTATATTAAATTATATTAATTTTATTAATTTTATTATCTTAGAAGTTAATATATATATATATATATATATATAAAGTTATAAATTACACATTTTTATTT